GGAGAGGTCCAGCAATTGCCTTGAGCTCCAAGAAAGTACTTTCTAGGTAGTTGGAAGTTCCTGGATGATAACAATATTTTCTTTACTTGGTAGCCTTGGGTTATAGGATATCAGTTTTATCTCCAGAATAGTGAGAGGCTAAGAGCAACCATGTAGGCAGTCAATTCTGTGATATGACCTGCCCCAGATAAAATACTGGACACTAAGGCACAGATGAGCTTCCCTGGTTGGCAGCATACCACATGAATTGCCACATACGATTTCTGAGGAAATTAGTTTGCCCTCTACCACTCCACTGGGAGAGGAGTGTGATAGACCACAAATGTGAGTACAACAATTTTTAGTAAGTTCTATGAGTCTTGCTGGTATATTATTGAACCTGAGTGTAATCCTGGATATTCCTAAACTTGTAGTTGATGCTAGAAGTGAGGGTAGTCTTGTGGTGCTGAAGTCTACATAAATACACCTAACCCAAGTGGTATTAGAAGAAGGATGAAGTCGATAAATGAACTATTTTGCTTTTCTTCATGTTTCTTGCATGTTAATTATGAGCCTTAGACTCTATGTCTTAAAATATATTCATATTAGGGCCTCTCTCATATCCTTAAAAATCATAAATAATCAAAGTGGAGGTTCTCTCCTCCCTTCAGAGAAAGGTACCTCCTTCTTTGAAGACCTGTTCTTTCCACTGAGATCTCACTCACAGAGATCTTTTGCCAGAGTGTCTTGGCTTTCCATGCCTGAAATACTCTCATGGGCTTTTCAGCCAGATCCGAGTGCCTTTAGGGCTGATTCTGAGGCCAGAGTGCTATTTAGGGCATCTGCCATTCTATGAGTCTGCTGAGTATCTCACTTCCCATGTTGGATCACTCTCCCCTTTATTTATTCTATCGGTTAGTGTTAGCAGGTACTAGACTTGCTTATGTGCTCCCTTTGACTCTTAGTCCTTTCATTATGATCAATTGCGAACTGAAATTGATCACTTGGACTAGTGAGATGGCATTGGTACATGCCACCTTGATGGGATTAAATTGGAGTCCCCTGGTATGTTTCTAACTCTACCATTTGGGGCAAGTCAGCTTGAGCATGTCCCAAATTATATATCTCTTCCCTCTCTTATTCCTACTCTTATGTTTAACAGGGATCACATTTCAGTTAAATTAAGAGTCGGAGAACTCAAGGGGCTTCCATAGCCTTGGAAACTCATGACTGGAGTATAGGGAGATTACTGATGCCATAGACAGGAGTGTCAATTGGTAGTCAACAACAGGAGTCACTGTGCACTTACTCCTCATGTAGGATCTCTGTCCTTAATGTGCTGTGCATTGAGATTTAATGCTATAACGAGTACTCAAATAATATATTGCACTTTGTGTTTCTATGGGGGTGCAAACTGTTGAAATCTTTACTTAATGCATACTAAACTGATCCTCTGTAAAAAAAAAAAAAAAAAAAAAAAAAAAAAAAAAAAAAAAAAAGAAAAGAAAAGAAACTATCAACTCCCAACTTGACTCTCACTGGGATTAAACATGACAATAGGTCTGATCTGATTTCATCATCATTAAAAAAAATCATCTATTATTTTTCACTTTATGTTTCTGTGTGGGAGCAAACTGTTGAAATCCTTACTTAATGTATACTAAGCTGATCTTCTGTATATTAAGATAATCGAAAATGAATCTTGATGTGAATGGAAGGGGAGAGGGAGTGGGAAAGGGGAGGGTTGTGGGTGGGAGGGACGGTATGGGGGGGAAGCCATAGTAATCCATTATTCGTACTTTGGAAACGTATATTCATTAAATAAAAGTTTAAAAAAAAATCATAAATAAAAATTATAAAAATAGTTTCACCTCCCTCAAAAATGACAATGTTATTAAATGTAAAATGAAAAAAGCACAATTCTGTGCATGAGATGAGAAGTTAGTCAGTGTTCATTATAGTTTTATTATGATGGTTTTCATGACTGGTTTTCTTCCTTTCTCCTTATCCAAAGAGTTGGAATTACCTGTTTCTCCCCATGACCTTTGTGACCATGAATTTTAGACATTTGCCAAAATATTTTTTCTTTTTCTGAGACATAGTTAGATCCTATTTCCCAAGTTCCCTTATAACTAACTGTTATATTGTTAGACAAAATTCTAATCAAGGAATATTAGCAAAAGTTCCAGCTTTGAGGCATTAAATAGTTATACATGATTTCTTCAGTACTGGCTGACAGGAGAAGAGCCTCTGGGATGATTTTGGGAGCCTATTGGAAAGGCATTACTATAGAAGACTGAATATTTTTAAATGGGCCCAATACACCACCTAACTTCCTAGAATATTCTTGGTCCATTTTATATGGGTGAGAAACAAACTTCCTACATTGAGCTATCACACATTTGAATCTTTTATTTAGTATAACCTGGTTTATCCCAGATAATGCAGGTCTCTGTTCTTATTTTTTCTTCATTGTACCAACTGCAAAATTACTTATTACACTTTGGACAGTGTGCCTAATCTATAAGGCATGCTTTCTTCTCAAAACTCTTAAACCTCCTTATTTGATTTATAGTGGTATAAATTTAATTCTTCAACAAACTGCCATGACTCTCCTTCTGCCTTGCTTAGAATACTGAGAGAATTCCTGAATTTATAAAATAGAACTCAAATTCACTAGCAACTGGGCATTCTTTTAGGGATTTACATTTATGTTTAATTTCTCTTAATAAAATTCATATATTTTATTCTGTATTTTCCATTTATGATGTTATACTTGCTCTATTCCACTCTTCTTATCTGGGAACACCTTTATGCTGCTTCTGTACACATCCACCTTGAAATTCTATCCCAAATAGCATATAAAATAACTCTTTCACTGCTTAATAAAAATAACATTTCATCTGTCCTTGGTAGTACTGAGAAATACATATACTTATATACATTTATATAAATAGATTTATTTACATTATAGTAGAGTATAGCAGCGATTCACTCAGATATATATATATATATATATATCTAGATATGACTCCTTGCTCACATTCTCTGAGAGTCCTTGTAAGTGTCATACATGAAAAGGTACCTGGAGTGTTACAGATTGAACAGCACTTATGAAAGAGTGTACTCACACTAGAAGCAAATGATATACACAAAATGAGAACACTACCTTAGAAAAATGTTTTGAAACAATAAGAATGATAAGTATGTATCTTATATAAATGTCCTTACAAAATCAAAAAAGAAAAAAAATGTGGATTTCTTCTCCCTGACAAAACTGTCTTGGATGATTTAGAGTTGCAATGTTGAGTGCACTTATTGCTACCCAGTGCCTAAAATGCAGCTAGCATTAATCAAGATGTGCTGTCAGTGTGAGGCTCACAACAGACTGGAAAAATAATTTAAAATTCCTCACCAATAATTTTTATAATAAATTGAAATATATTTTATGTATTTTATTTGGCTGAAGAAAATAGCATTAGAATATCTTTACCTCCTTACTTTTACTTTTTTAATATGACTACCAAGAAATTTATAATTACACCTCACATCTGTTTCTACTGGAATCACCTGCCTGGTGGTAGAAGAACAGACATAGATACCTGTCCCAGACCTTTGAAATTATAGTATATTATTTCTTCCAGCGTCTATAGTAATTTAACTTGAAATCCTCTCTATTTTGGAAACTAAAGAAACAGTGAGGGCCATGGAATCATGGTAGACCAGCCCCACTACTAGCATAGCTGGCTAAGGCCAACACCATCACTGATTTACCATTCTTCTTTCTTGATAAGCCTGACTTAATTTTTTTAAATAGGATCGGGGTGAAGAAATATATGGGCAGAACTTTTGGAAATGACACTCAAATCTGATTAAAAGGGAGGACCTAAAGCTTGAAAAGAAGGCAGAGATCTCCTAGGACTTACATATGTGTACATGCACATACACACACACATACCTGCTCCTCCTAGCTTTTCATTTATGGTTTCTCAAGATAAAATGATCTCCCTTTCTTTACACAGTTTGTATTATATTTAAGGTACCAAATTCGATGTATTTCATATATACAGATTTAGGAATTAGCGATGTTTCTCACTGTGTTTCTCAAGTTTTTAAGATAATGAATTTTGAATAGCAGTATTATGGAGAATCAAAGCAAACAGTGAGAGGCCAGCACTGTGACCAAGCAGGTTAAGCTACTGCTTAACTGGCATCTGTTGTTGGACTGCTAGAGTCCCAGCTTATCTGCTTCCAACACAGCTCCCAGTAATAGGCTTGGGAAAGAAAAAAGGATTGTTCAAGGTTAAGCACCTGCCACCCATGTGGGAGACTCAGAGTTCCTGGCTCAAGATGTGCTATCAATGTGAGGCTCACAACAGACTGGAAATAAATGATAAATGAATTTAATGAGTTTGTGGGAAAGAGCAATGATTTAAAAATCCATTAGATTACCAAGTACCAGAAAGAAAGAAATAGACAATATTAAAAGTCAATAGGCAGAGTGGACAACAAATATTGACAGGAGAAAAGAGAAAAAAAGGATTAAATTATGTTATTTTTTTCATTTTTTGACAGGCAGAGTGGACAGTGAGAGAGAGAGACAGAGAGAAAGATCTTCCTTTGCCGTTGGTTCACCCTCCAATGGCCGCCAAGGCCGGCGCGCTGCAGCCGGCGCACCGCGCTGATCCGATGGCAGGAGCCAGGTGCTTCTCCTGGTCTCCCATGGGGTGCAGGGCCCAAGCACCTGGGCCATCCTCCACTGCACTCCCTGGCCACAGCAGAGAGCTGGCCTGGAAGAGGGGCAACCGGGACAGAGTCCGGCGCCCCAACCGGGACTAGAACCCGGTGTGCCGGCGCCGCAAGGTGGAGGATTAGCCTAGTGAGCCGCGGCGCCGGCCTGTTATATTTTTAAGTATTATTCCAATCAACATTAAAAAGTAATACCAATGACCCAACAGAAAATGAGCAGAAATACGACGAAAACGAAGGCTCCGGAAGTGGATAAACAGAATTGTACTCACTGAGGCAGGGTCGGCCAGCGCCAGGCAGGATCCGCAGGGAGAAGGACGGGGACCCAGGGCGAGGCCACGGGTGGCAGGAGCTCGGAGGTGCGAGCCCAGGGGCGGCCACTTCTGACCTGAACCCAGGCCTGTCCCTCCTGTTCCCATCCAGGACCACCCGACGAAGTCAGGGGTCCATGCTGTGGGGGATGCTGATTGGCTCCGTCCTTTGTGACGTTGCGTGCACACAAGGCCGGTAAACTGTCCAATCAGGCATGGTGCCGTCCACGCTGCCTCAGCACGCGGGGCCTTGACGTCACAATCGTCTTAGCCTTCCGGTGGAGTGAGGTCTGGGGAGGCAGCTCCGCCGCCGCGAGGCTGCCTAGCGAAGTCGGGCTCTGCCTCTCTCCACCTTCGCTCGCCGGGCACGCTGGGTACCTAGAGAGCCGGAAACCGCGCCACGGTGAGTGTGTGGACCTGGGGGTCCCGAGACGGGAAAACGGACGCGGGCCCGGCACCGTGGACTCCATATTGGCGCTGGCACAGGGCTTCCCTCGGTCTCCCAGACCCCTGGGTTGAGGGCTCTGCCGGCACCAGGACCCCCGACGTCGTGCCCCTTCTCTGCTCCCGGGGACTTCTGGGCCCCGGAGCCATAGCGGGCAGCTGTGTGGCGGCAGCTCCGCGTCTCCCTGATTGTGCAGCGGGGTCTGGGTGGTCACTAGGGAGAACGCGGGCGCTGTGTGTGCGATTATATTTAGGCGCTGTGGGTTTCTCCTCCCTTCCCCACACGGACCTGGTTCCCCCGAGATTTCTAAATATGTCGCCGCAGGGTCTTTTACAGGGCGCTGGCCTCTTCACGTAACTGTTTCTGGGATGTCTCCGTTTTCTGTTTGCAGTAAAACAGTAACATAGATTGAGTAAGGTAGAAACAGAAGTTTTATTTGGCTCAGAGTTTTTACCGAGGTTTTAGAAGGGCAGGAGGCCCCTGTAATTTGGTACTGGGGTATCATCTTAGCCCTTACACTTCCTCCTAACAGATGCCATCTATATTTGCACTTTCAAGATACAAATTTGGCTACTTAAATTTGTGTGTGTTTTAAAAACGATTTCTGTTCCATTAAAGCCTTCCCAATCTCGAAGATATGTCTAGTTTACTAAGTTATTTTGGATTTACATTTTGATATAGAAGTTTTGTTTTGGTTGTTTTAATTTTTTCAAGAATGTCAGAGTATGATTGACACAATTTGTGCATATTTAAGGTGTGTACCCTGATGTTTTGCTATGTGAGGGGATTTTAAAAAGTTATGGACAATTCACATTATCTTTTGATTACATTTTTTCATACACTTTCTGGAATCCTTTTGTACGTATATATTATGAAATGATTAGGACAATCTAACATATCCATCACCTTACACCCCTGTGTTATTAAAGAATATGTAAGATATTAGCAAGTTTTGAGTGTGTGATATCATAATCATCTAGTTACTGTGTTGAATATTAAGGTCTTGGGGTGTTAATTTATCTCACAGCTGCAAATGTGTGTTCAGCAAATATTTTCCCATGTCCTCACTCTCAGCCCATGATAACCACCATTCTGTCCTGTGATTAAGTGTGACTTTCCTAGATGACATATATGAGTGAGACTGTGTGGCATTTATTTTTCTGTGCATTATTTCAAATAGTCTAATATCCACATTCATATTTTTGGATCCACGTTCTGACAAAATCCTTTTTAAGGTTGGCTGTGATTTGTGTGTATATGTGTGTGTGTGTGTGTGTGTGTGTGTCACATTTTCTTTATTGATCTGTTGATAATGGGGTTGTTTCCATATCTTTTTCTTGTAGATAATACTGCCTTTAATGTGGAGATCTGTGTGTATTTGAGATACTGATTTGATTTCCTTTGTATACATATGCAGTAGTGGGATTGTTTTGTCACTATGTTCTGTTTAATCTTGATTGAAGACCTACACAGTGTTTTCTATATTGGATGTACCAATTTACTTTCTCACCAACAGTTTTTATATTCCATTATTTCCTCCATGGTTCAATGTTAGCTTTTCACTTTTGGATAATAATCATTTTAACATATATGAGATGATAACCATTGTGGTCTTGATTAGCACTGTAGTCTTCATTAGCAGTTTTTGAGCCCCCTTTCAGTTATCTGTAGGCTACTTGTATATATTCAATGGAAAACTGATCAATCCTTTGTGGGATTTTTATTGCAATATTTGCTTTTGAGTTGTCTGTGTTCAAACTCAGGCTTTCCAATACTTTCTTCCATTCCTTGCTTTATCTATTCTGTTTTTCCTGTCGTATGCAGAATATTTCTTAGATTTTTTGCATTCTTTGCTTTTTCACTTGTGCTTTTAGTGTCATACCTAAACAATCATTGTTGAGAATAATATCAATGAATCTGCTTCCATTTGTAATGGGTTTTATATTCTCAGACCTTTTATGTAAGCCTTCAATTCATTTTGAGTTGACTTTCATGCCTGGTGTAATATAAAGATATTATATTTCAGTTTTTGGCATGTAGATGTCCAATTTTCCTCTGCTTCAGATGTGGTCACTAAATAGTGTATAGCCACTTGGTAACTGTGGTGTTACTTGCTGGTCCCAACATCCCCAAAGATGTGCCTCTAACTGGGCAGGATCCAAGCAGAAACTGTCACAGTGCATTTTATCCCTAATCTGCCTTGTCTCCCACACCCATTTGCTGTGCTCTGCTGCTCTTCTCTGTCTAGACCTCAGATGTGAGCATGCACAGAGAGAGACATGTGAAGCGGTGTGCAATGTTGGGGAGAAGTAGAAACTATGTAGTGAAGGGGCTGGGCCCAGAAGGCTCTGTCTCCTTTCTCTGAAAGCCTTGGATATACGGAGGCACTTCCAAAATTCATCGAGGGATCGACATTTAGCACCTGTTACAACCCTGCTTAGTAGTCCACATCCCATATTGGTGTGCCTAGGTTACAGTCACAACTCTCAATTCCAGCTTTCTGCCAATACTCACTTTTGGAAGGAGTGATGGCTGAAGTATGTGGGTCCCTGTAACCACATGGAAGACTCATATCATCTGGGAAGCAGAACTGATGGGGTCCTCCATGCAGAGTGGATGTACATAAGGTGTTCCTTTGCTGCAGTGTATGTTGGTGATGTGGAAAATAACACACTCCATCACGAACTTCCTTATGTCAAACAATGATGCACAACTGAGAAAAGGAGGCCACTAAGGTATTTAGGCATTTTTCAGTTATTCTGTGTGGCTGCCATCCCCACAGGGAAGGAGCACAACTGGAATAATCCCACTCTGACCACATGGATGCAGGAGGTTTATTTAAATTTTGAAAATTAATTTTATTCACTTTAAAGGCACAGAGATCTCTCAACCACTGTTCTCTCTCCAGATATTCACAGCACCTGGGATTGAACCAGGTTGTGATGTGAAAGCATCAGGTTTTATGAAGTGAAGATCCCAGAACTCAGTATGGGTGGCACAGACCCAAGTATTTGAGCTATTATCTGCTGCCTCCTAGGGTGTACTTTAGTAGGAAGCTGGATTGGAAGTGGAGTGAGACTCAAACCCACACACCCTAATATAGGATGTGGGTCTTGAAAGAGCCGTATTACATGCTGTTCCCCAATGCTCACCCCTCTATTATTTTAAGAGGACTCCTACAGCAGTCCAGATCAACTCTCCTGGCCCTGATGGTTATAGTCCCTGAAGTTTAGCTGTGCAGACCCTCAACACCCTAGAAAATACCCAAGCATAACCACCCAATGGAGTGTTTACCGCAGCAGCTTCCTGCTGTGCTTGTCACTCAGAACTGTGCAGCTAGAGGTGTGCCATCAGGTGCTGTTTTCTTTGACATCTCTTCATCCATTTTCCACATGCTGGTACCACACCTGGCCATCCTCATCAAAGTGATCACTGCTGGATGCCATGCCAAAGGGAGATCCCAAGTTGTCTCATTTCAGGTAAACCTCATTTGTTGTTTTAGATACTCCTTGGCACTTATGTGACTCATCCTCCCAGTCAGTCTCCATAGCAGGTCCCTTGGCACAGTAGTTCATGCGTTCCACAGACACCTCTCTGGGTGACAGTCACCTGTTTACTGGGCTCATAGCCTAAATAATTGTGACCTCTTGGGCACTGAATCAGGTATTCATCAGTGTGATGAACTAGCCCTGCTGGGTCATTGGCAAAAAGGACAAGCCCTTAGTATACCTGCATGGTCAACATATTAAGGCAGGACTCTTCTTTTACCATGAACCCTGGTATTGTTCCTCCCCACTTCTCACTTACCATTTCTGATCCTTGGTTGGCATGGACACTCTGGAATATCTCTTCTCCACCAAGCCTAGTGCTTGTACAGTTGGGGTATGCTGACGAGGAGCCTGCACATTTCCTCAAGCCCCTCTGCAGCATCAACACTCAAGCAGGCCATAGTAGAAGTTGCTTCAGTTAATCACCACATATTGGAAGCCTGTGTTCTGAAATTTGTGTCTGTAACTTACCAGTCTTGCCCCTTTTCAAGGCTGGAGAAAGAGGCATACTTCTGATTACCACAACCTAAGCAAAGTCCTACCTCCTTTTACCAGTCATTGTCAGTATCTTCTAAGATGCGCAGATGCCTCTGCCTTAACTTTGCATTATTGATGAGGAAACAATATCTTTTTTGGTGTCTGTGACAGGTTTCATTCACTTTTACATTTGAGGCCAATGATACAAATGAAGCTTCTGAAGCATAACTCAGTAGTCCACCACTGGTTCATTGTCTGTGTTGATAGTATCTGTCTGCCCTCTAACTACTATGTGGCATCCATTCGTGACACTGTCTGGTTGACTTCCTTCTGAAAGTTAACCAAGGGGCCAGTGCTGTGGCACAGAAGCTAAAGCCACTGCCTGCAGTGCTGGCATCCCATATACGTGCCAGTTCAAGTCCCAGCTGCTCCATATCCAATCCAGCTCTCTGCTATGGCCTGAGAAAGCAGTACAAGATGGCCCAAGTCCTTGGGCCCCTGCATCTGCATGGGAGACCCTGAAGAAACTCCTGACTCCTGGCTTTGGATTTGCTTTGGACTGTTGCAGCCAATTAAGGAGTGAACCAGCAGATGGAAGCTCCCCCCATCCTTCTGCTTCTCTGTATAAC